GCCCGGCAGCGCCCCGGCACCCCGCTTGCCCCGAGCCGTGCCTTCAGCAACAACAAGATCCTAGTGGAGCTGGACGAGAGCTCAGGTAGGGCTGGTGGCACCTCTGCGCTGTCACCCTTGATGCACAGGGCCCTTCTATGCCCGCTCCACGGCACGTGTGGCCCTGGGCCTGGAAAGCCACCAAAGGCCCAGCTTCAGCTGCTTAGGGCTCTCAGGGAGCAGCATTTGGGGACGGGCGTCTCACGTGGCTGGGTGCTGCATGGGCAAACAAACCCTCACTGTCCCCGTGGGCAGACTTCCTGCTCTGGCCACTGCCCACACGTCGTCCCCTCTGTGGGATCCTCGCTTTGGGGACCTGGTGGAGTGGCAGGTGCTCCTTCAGGGAGCAGCTGTTGGCGTTTTCTGTGTCCTGGCTGCCAGGAATAGCTGTCACGGGACCACATCCCTGGACTGAACAAAGAACGCCTCTTCTCGAGGGCCTGCTTTTGGGGTCCTCACGCCTGCCTGGGCGTGGTTGCAGCACCCAGACTGAGCGCTTGGTGAGGATTGTTTGGGAGTAAGGTAGGGCAGTTTGGAGGGGATGAGGGTTCAGAGCCCTTCCTGTGGTGCTGGCCAGGGTGGCAGTGCTGTCAGCACACTCAGAAAAGTGTGTAATCCCCTGGATGTGTGGTGTTGGCCATAACAGAAACTGGAGGCTCGACTTTATCCAGTGAGCCCAGAGAGAAGGGAACCGCTGGGCAGCGTGACCATGAAGGTAGCTGCTCTGTCTCCCAGAGACACGCGTTCACGCTTCAGGTTCACCGTTAGCTGGGTGAGCCCAGTTTGTGGGCAGATCTGGGCAAAGGCAGGGCCCTGACACTTCAGGGCTTTTTGAAGAGCCAGGAGTGGAGAGACTTGATCTGTTTGAGCAGTGAAATGGGGGTGTGAGTTAATCTCCCTTGGGCAAGGCAGTGCGTGCTGCTGTGGTGGTGGGGTTTTGATGTCTCTGTGTTTACTGTGGCACAGGTGTTGCCACGATGAAGTTCAAGAGCCCCCCAGTCAACAGCCTCAGCCTGGACTTCCTCACCGAGTTTTGCATAAGCCTGGAAAAGCTGGAGAATGACCGAGCCTGCCGGGGCGTGATCCTCACATCTGTACGTGTTGTCCTGAGCTCCGGGCGCGAGCAGCGGGGCAGTCTGGCAGGCACGGGTGCTCTTCCCTTGCTTGTGTTTGGTTTGTTGGCTCCCTGGTCACTGATGTGGGAGGGTCAGGAGGCAGCTTTGATCAGCTCTGGAAGGAGGGAGAAGATACTTGGGTGGGTACAAGGTGATGCTTGGGAATGGGACAGGGCAGGCCTTGTGCTGTGTGGCTGAACTACCTGCACAGGGACCCTGATAATGAGGAAACCCTGCTGCAAGCAGAGCCCCAGCCCTGCAGGCCATGGTGATGAGATGATCTAGGCTCTGGGAGATTGTTTCAGAACCACAAAAGACCCTAGTTTGTGTCATATTTAATTGTTGCTTTCCCTTTCCTCAGGCTGAGTGTTAGAGGGCTAAAGGGCTGTCTCTGAGCAGTGACTCTCAGTGATGTTTGCATTTTCCCCATTCCAGGCCATCCCCAAAATTTTCTCATCTGGCCTGGACATCACCGAGATGTGCGGGAAGAGCACGGAGCACTACGCCGAGTTCTGGCGAGCTCTGCAGGAGATGTGGCTCCGACTGTACAGCTCCAACCTGGTGACGGTTGCTGCAGTCAACGTATGTCCTTCAGATCCGCCTGCCTCGCTGCTGTGCGCGGTCTGTCGTTGTGGGGGTTGCTGTGTTGGGCTGCGGGAAGGTGTGGAAGCACAGGACATTGCAGGCTCCACGTAAGCTGCAGGCGCTGCCGGGGCACAGCAGCATTTTGGCTGCGGTGGAGAGCTTGTGCAGCACTCGTGTCTTGCCGAGGGCGGCTGAGGTGCCCTTGGAGTCCTTTGTGCAGCAGGAGCCATACCCTGCTCCAAGAACTCAGCTGGGAGTCTCTCCTCCGGGCTGGAGGACCAGGAGGAGGGCTGTAGCCCAGTGGTGCAGAAGGGCTTTGTTGGCAAATGAGTGCTGGAGAAGCCAAGCAGTTGGCTTCGGAGGAGTCCAAAGGAGGCCTGTTGTGCCTGCTGGCTGCTTTCTCCTGGACAGGACTCATCGGGGTCGCCCATGGTCACTTGCTTGGCCGACGCAGTGCTTTGCTGAGGGGGAGGAGATGGGAGGCAGCCGTGTGGTGCTGCCCATACTCATCCTTGGCCCCGCGGGCAGCAATGCTTCGGGCAGCACAGTTTGTTGTCCTTTTCTCACCTGGTTTAGCTCCTCCAACCGAAGCTCTTGGGCGTCAAGGAAGTGCTGTCTGAATCTGTGTCTGTAGAGGGGTTGCCAGCGGCTTGGTGGCTTGTTTTGACTTTTCAGTGCAGTGTCGTGTTGGGAGCTCACAGTTCTGTGTCTGTCTCTGAGGGCAGCTGGGGCTCTAAGTGGCTTCCTGCAGATATCCTGTGCAGGGCTAAGCAATCACCAAGATGTGGCAAAGATTGTCACAAATGGAAGGTTTATAGACAGAAGGTGTTACAAAACCCCTGGAAGGAACTGTTTCTGTGGAATTTAGGGTTACAAACTCAAGTAGGGTTTAAAAACCCATGTAGGGTTACAAGCAAATGCTGTAGCAAATCTGCACTGCAGGGTTCGCAACCTGAGTAACGTGAATCAAGATTTCCAGGCCTGGAAAATGCAAGAAACAAAGAGCATTGAACAAATGAAAGGATAAACCCTCATAAACCTATCAGAACTCTCCTTTAGAGCTATTTCAAATCAGATAATCAGAGACTTGGGGGACATCTGCTCCATCACCCTGTGTCTCCCCCGCTCTCGAGGAAAAACAAGACTGGAGGCGCAGTGAGGTTTGTAACCATGACTTGGACTCACTCATTCCTTCTCTTTGCCAGGGGTCCAGCCCGGCGGGAGGCTGTCTCATTGCTTTGTCGTGTGACTACAGGATCATGACCGAGAACCCCAAATTCACCATCGGCCTGAACGAAGTCCGGCTGGGCATTGTGGCTCCCTTCTGGTAGGCCAGTGCCTCCCACTTCTACTGTCCCGTGTAGGTCTCTGAAAAGAATTCATCTTCAAGGAGTTTACTGATCAGTTCAACTGGCCGCTGAGATGTAGTTTTACGTGTCAGTGATCAGGAGACAGCACCTCCTTTCTCTGTCCTATCCTGCAGGTATCTGAAAAGCTGCAGAATGTCCTCTCATCCTTCACCAACAAGGACCTCAGTTCTGACTCTGCAGTCAGCTCTTAAACTAGTTCTGGGAGATCTCCCTGGTCAGGCTCAGACTGGGAGTATGCTTTTCTTTGGATACACTCTGTGTACCTGCAAAATCCCATAGCTCTGGAGATCTCTGAAAGTGTAGGGACGCTAATATACTAAGGCACAGGCCCTTCGTTGCCCTAAGAATGTGTAAATGTGCTGCTGGAAGGAAGCTTTCACATCACAGCAAGGGGGCACAGCTGGGACTTGAGGTAAATTGAGCAGCTCTCATGGAGAGGAGAGAGAGCTCTCTTGGGGTAGCACCGAGAATGGCTCTGCCTGCCTGACTTGCCACAGCGTGGCCAAGCCCGTAGCTGCCATTTGGAGACCCGTGCCTGGGGATGGGTCCAAGCGTGCTCTTAGCTTCGACATCTGTGAGCAACTCCTGCCAGGTGTTTCTTTCGCTGACCGTGGCTTTTCCTCCCATCTCTTCTAGGTTCAAGGACATGTTTTTGACCGTTGTGGGACACCGAGTTGCTGAACGCTCCCTTCAGCTGGGCTCCCTCTACCCCGCACCTGAAGCCCACAAGTTAGGCCTCGTGGATGAGCTGGTGCCAGAGGAGAGGCTCCAAGAGAAGGCTGCTGCTGTTATGGCACAGTGGCTGGCCCTTCCCGGTAAGGGTGGCACCTCTTAGAGAGGAAGAGGGGATCTGATCTGGGTGCGAAGGAAAGGTACTGGGGCTGGTACCTAGGAGCTATGTAACAGTTTGCATTTAAAGGAGAGGTCCAGTAAGCCTTGGGCTGACAGAGGTGGGCTTGCCAGTGCCCCCATGCAAGAGGACACCTTGCTGGGTGTGTAGGACATGTGGCTCCAGCACTGCTTGCCCTGCTGAGACAATCTGGAGGTGCCTGAGCTCCGTGGCTGTCAGTGGAGGTGTTGCCCCAGGAGAGCTGCCGTCTTGTTGGGGGAAGAGGCTGGGCGAGAATGCCTGGGTGGCCGCCCATCTGCCTTTATGGTCTGGATTGACTCTTGGCATTCTGCTCAGCTGGGGATGGCAATGGGGCATGACGATAGAAAGCAAGCACAGACATTGTGTGTGTATTTGGGCTGCTCCATGACGGGTGGAACATGGTTCCTGGGCTGGGAGAGGGCTCTCCTGCAGCCAGGGCTAGATCTGAGCTACCCCATCCCATGCCACCTCCTGTCATACTTCAGCTGCTCTTTCTGTAGAAAAGCTGGATGAAACTGCTCGGAAAGGGACAGGTCCATGTGGCCCAGCCATGGAAGAGGATCCCTAAACAGGTCTCTCCCTTGCTGTCCTTGTGGTAGAGTGACACCTCAGCCTCCAAGAGCAGTGAGCACATCTCAGTTGTGCTCTCTCCTGACTTCTAGGAGCCACTATGCAGATCCTTCCCCAGAGCCCTAAATCAGAGCCAGGAAGAGTCTGTCTGAGTGAAGGTGTCTTAGCACACAGTTGCTGGAGCGATTTGGGGTTCCCAGCGTGTTGGAGGGTTTTCATCATCTCACCGTCACGGTTGAAGCATGCTGAGAGCGCATGTGAAACATCTGTGCAGTGGATGTGCTACCGTGTCACTGCACATGGCTCTCTGTGCACGTGAGCAGACGTGTGCTCGAGGCCTCGGTCAGCTCCAGCAGGCAGCGCTGCTCTGGCAGCACCCATATATCCATGTGGAATGACACAGGCCCGGAGCCTGTGGTCGGGACGAGCCCACAGGGACAGCACTCCTGGCTTTTGTATGGCAAATTTGGCATGAGCGGGTTGTCTTGCCAGAGGACAGAGGGGTTGAGTTGGGAAAGCTTGCAGCCAGAGAATTTCAAATAGAGTTTTGTCCCAGTAGATCAGTCATTTCCCCACTGAGCAGTACAGATCATAATTTATTGTATGAGAATTTATCCAGTTCAGCTTCCAGCTGGTGTATTTTTCTTACACCTTGCCCGGCTGGTTTCAAGAGCCCTTTGCTGAGTGGTACCTTCCTGTTTGGAGGCACCTGCACAGAGTGGCAGTGGCTGAGAGCTGGTCAGAGATGAGGACTGTGGACATTTCCCATCCTTGCTCTCCTCTCCGCAGACCATGCCCGTCAGATCACCAAGTCCATGATAAGGAAGGCGGTGTTGGACCGCCTGGTAGCTCACCGGGAGGAAGACATTCAGAACTTCGTCAGCTTCATTTCAAAAGAGTCCATCCAGAAGTCGCTTCGCATGTACATGGAGATGCTGAAGAAGAAGAAGAGCTAAGGAGGCAGCCGCCTGGGGCCTGGTCCCAGGAGCTCAAATGACCTTCCGAAACTCTGCAGTAGCTGTAGACTTTCACAGTGAAGCCATCTGCAACGTCAGC